AGTAGTCGTAGTAGTAGTAGTAGTAGTAGTAGTAGTCGTAGTAGTAGTAGTAGTAGTAGTAGTAGTAGTAGTAGTAGTAGTAGTAGTAGTAGTAGTAGTAGTAGTAGTAGTAGTAGTAGTAGTAGTAGTAGTAGTAGTAGTAGTAGTAGTAGTAGTAGTAGTAGTAGTAGTAGTAGTAGTATTAGTAGTAGTAGTAGTAGTAGTAGTAGTAGTTGTTTTAGTAGTAGTAGTAGTAGTAGTAGTAGTAGTAGTAGTAGTAGTAGTAGTAGTAGTAGTAGTAGTAGTAGTAGTAGTAGTAGTGGTCGTCGTAGTAGTATTAGCAGTAGTAGTAGCAGTATTAGTATTAGTAGTAGTAGTAGTAGCAGTAGTAGTAGTAGTAGTAAGCGTAGTAGTAGTAGTAGTAGTAGTAGTAGTAGTAGTAGTAGTAGTAGTAGTAGTAGTAGTAGTAGTAGTAGTAGTAGTTAGTAGTTAGTAGTTAGTAGTTAGTAGTAGTAGTAGTAGTAGTAGTAGTAGTAGTAGTAGTAGTAGTAGTAGTAGTAGTAGTAGTAGGAGTAGTAGTAGAGTCGGAGTCGGAGTAGGAGTAGGAGTAGGAGTAGGAGTAGGAGTAGGAGTCAAGCTAGCCAGCTCGAGCGAGTCAAGCATGGCATGCCCAGTCCCACCCGCCCTCCCACAACATAAGAAGCAAAGCTGGCACAACTGGGGGCCGAAGTCACACCGGCCAGCCGGTTTGGTACAGCTGATGCGGCCGCGATGGCGGTTGCCGACGGGAACTGGCGAGCGCGTGTTGAATGCCGCGCACGCATTGCCAGACGAGTCGAGAATGGCCCGGTACACCGCAGGAAGCCAGAGGTGGCCGGAGGAAGCCCGACGGTCTGACAGGACACCCCAAGGGGGCCCAGGAGGCCCCAAGAGGCAGGAGTAGTAGTACCAGTGGTAGTGGTGTTGGTAGTGGTAGTGGTAGTAGTAGTACCATGGCGCGGGGTGTGCGCCGCGTCCCGTTCCTGCCACGCATTTTGCGACGTGACGACAGCACGACCATGTTGACAAGAAAAACAAAACTGTGTATTGTCTTTTGCAGTTAGAATGGGACGGATTGGATGGGCGGGCGCGGGGTGTGCGCCGCGTCCCATTCCTGCCATGCATTTTGCGACGTGGGCGACAGGACGTCCATGCGACGGTGCCAATGACGGCGACGACTCTAGAAGGATTTGAGCATGCGCTCGCGGCGACGCGCGCGCATGTCGCCCGCGTTGTTTTTTTGCACAGGATTCGCGGCCTGGGTGCATGACAGAGCATCGCGAGTGCACCGCGCGATGACGTGAAATCGCTGGATTTGACAGAATTCTTAAGATTCCTATGGTTTTCCTATGATTTCAGCAAGAGAGCCCGGGCAGGAAATTTGTAGAATTTTTGTGAAAAAGCATTGGGTTTTTGATGTTTTTATGTTGAAATGCTTGCAAACACACGGTGTTCGGTAGGATTCTGACATGAACGCGCGCGTGTGCTCTTTGTGGTATTTGTTGCAATGGATTATCGCCGTGGACGACAGGACGTCCATGTCGAGAGGAAAAAATAAGAAAAATGTTGATTTTGTATTTTTTTTTGGCCCCTATCTGCCGGCCTGAGGGGGGAGTGGGAGTAAATTCTAATAAGGAATAAGGATAGGAGTAGTAGGAGGAGGAGGAGGAAGAGGAGGAGGAGGAGGAGGAGAGGAGGAGGAGGAGGAGGAGGAAAGAGGAGGAGGAGAAGAGAGCAGGAGGAGGAGGAGGGGAGGAGGAGAGGAGGAGGGGGAGGATGAGGCGGAGGTGGAGGTGGAGGAGGAGGAGGAGGAGGAGGAGGGGAAGAAGAAGAGGAGGAGGAGGAGGAGGAGGAGGATGATCATCAGGAGGATGAGGATTAGGAGGAGGAGGATGAGGAGGAGGAGGAGGATGAGGAGGAGGAGGAGGGGGAGTGGGAGGAGGAGGAGGAGGAGACGGAGGAGGAAGAGGAGGATGAGGAGAAGGGGACGGAGGAGGAGGAGGAGGAGCGCGGGTTCGTCGGCATTTCCGCTCCTCTCGGTCGGCAGGTCCCGTGCATGCGCATGACGCAGACGGTGGACTGCCTCCCACTGGTAGACTTAGGGCGGATGCCGCTGAGTCAGCGCGGCGCCCAGAGCCTGCGACGATGACCTGGTCAGGGCCGCATCGAGCATGTGGGCGAGGACGAGCCATGTCTCTGGCGTGGCTGGCCGGTTTTCCTAGGTTTTCGGTGTTTGGAGGACCCGTTTTTGGCCGTAGGTCCGCCAACAAAAACGTCCTGGGATGGAAAACCAACGTTGGTCCTGGGCCAGGGAGGCTGGGGTTTCTGGGGGCCTCGGACGAAAGTTTGACGACGTCGGATGCTTGAGGAAGGGGGGGAGAGGGAAACGATGTGGGAGGATATGTGGAGGAAAGAGGATAGAGGCGAGAGGAATGACGAGGAAGGAGGAGGAAGGGGGAGAGAGAAGGAGTCATGACACCCGTGGTGTGCGGGACATGCCAGCGGCGGGGGGATGAGAGGGAAGGAGTGAGGAGAACCAGGGGCACGAGGCAGGCGTTCGGAGCACCCCCCGCAGCTGCCTCGGCAGCGCTCGGGCCGCGCGGCCACGCTCGACCACCAGGAAGATGCGGCACGCGTGCAAGCCGGCGAGCTGAGGGGGGGACAGTGTCAGGGGCAACGTTAGGGGTGATAGGCTCAGGGGGGAGGAGGTTATGTAGTCTGTGTTTCTTAGACTGTAGATTATGTGGAAGCGGGGATGCTGTTTTGGGTTCCGCCATTTCGGCCTCGCAGCCGTGGGAGGCTCGAGCCAGGTTGTTCGGTGGGCCTGCAGGAGGCCTGAACCGCGCCCCGCCTGGCGCATGATGTGGGCCGCACATGGCATCATGCTGCTGTGCGCGGGCCTGGCTAGCCAAGCCAGTGGCTGGCTACCCGCGTGGGTCGGGCGGCTGGAGGCTCAGCGACAGGCGCCGCCGCTAGCCAAGCGTGTCCCGGCCCTGGGTGCGACAGGGCTGGGGCTGGACCCGCCCGGTCGCACTTGCGCCAGCAGGAGAGGCGGCACCGAGCCGCCCGCGCCGCCGCCCTCACCCACCCTGGGGGCGGATTCCGGGGTTGATGCCAGCCAAGTCGAGGGGCCTCGCGCCTGGATGCCCGCTTGGACCTTCAGCTGGTCTCGAGTGGAACCAGGGCTGCCGGTTGGCAGTTGAGCCGAGGGCGTCGGGCTTGGCAGTCCCACCCATCCCCCTGCCCTGGTCGCTGTTGGCCTGGCTGCCTAGCTGGCCATGTCGCTGGCCATGTGCACTCTAGCGACGGAATATCGGCGTCGCCTATTGGCCGCGCTTGCGGGGAGCAGATCCAATCTGCACTATTGGATGGCCGAGGCGTGCGAGCTGCAGGCGCAGTTGGCGGCTACCACCCAGTCGCGGTGCAGCGGGCTGGAGCGGGGCGTCGTCACCCAACTCGCCGGCGAGGAGAATGGCCGAGCCGAGCTGGACCCGCTCCGCGCCCATGCCGCCGACGCCAGTCGCTCGCTCCTGGTGGAGGCGGCGCGCCGGCGCAGCGTGGAGGCTGGAATGTCCCGGAAGCAGGGCGTGCCAGCACCCGCAGCCCGGCGGCGGAGTTCGGGCGCTATGAGCTTGGGGTGCTCGTGCATGCGGCTGTTTGGGTTTGCCCGAGGGAGGCGCCCACCCCGACCCCGCCATCATGCAGGAGCTGTGCCGCGAGCAGTTCTAGCGGTCCCGAAGAGTTGCCGCGGAGCAGGAGGCCATTCTGGTCGTGGCGGCGCGGGCGGTCGGACGAGGTGGAGCATTTGAGGCAGACGGCGGCCCTTGCTGCGGTGAGTCGGGTGCTCACCGCCGCTGTCTGGGAGCGACCCATCCATATTCGCGGCCCTGCCGAGAGCGGCCCGCCGTGGGGAGTCCTCCTGGGCCTGGGCGTCGCGCTGGGCGATCCCGCTGGCGAGGCAGCCCCGCCCACGGAGGAGGCGGCCCCAGGCCGCGACGCCGCAGCGTGGGTGCGCGCGGCGGCCAGCCCTGGCCCTCCCCACGGAAGGGCGCAGGGGTGGCCAGCGGCGGGTGTGCCAAGGGCGTCGCGCCGTGGCCCCCCTCGGCAGCGGGGCCCTCGCCCTTGGGCGAGGGAGAGGAGAGCGAGAGGCAGGAGAGCGCGCCCTGGGCCGCCGAGGAGCAGGAGGTCAGAGGGTCAGAACGCCGTGCTCGCGTCCAGTATTGCGGAGCCCTGCGCTGCCGCGTTGCCCACCAGGACAGACACGAGCACCACGTCACGACCCAGCACCGCGGAGTCGAGCACAGCCGCGGCGGCCACCGCGACCGAACCGACCATCGCGTTCCCGCCCTACGTTTTGGAAGCGATCGCCACAGCCGAACGGCGCCGCCATTGCGGCGCTCTCAGGGTGGGCTGGCCAGGAGTGCCAGGGGCGACTGGGCGGCTCCCGAGGCGCTGCTGTTGCGTACCTACGAGGGGGGGCCAGGCTCGCGCCGCCTGGCCAGGCACTGGGGACCAGATGGGCTGATCAGGGACGGCGACGTGGAGATGTTCACATGGATCCGCGTCGCCGAGACCGAGCTGGGGGGCATGCCGATGTGGGCGGGCTTGGGTTGCTCCGCCCGTGTTCGTTGCGAGCGGCCCAGCTGCTGCCTGTCGCCTGAGCGCGTCGAATGCTCGGGCGCCCCTCTAGATCCCGTGGTTGCCCCTAGGGTTCCCGGCGGAGGTGGGGGTCAGATCTCCTTGTGCGGCGGTCTGGTCATGCAGGGTCCGATCTCGCGCGACGCCTAGGGGAACGACGTCGTTTAAGGAGGGCCGGGCGACGGCGGCCCGCCGAGGGGCGAGCTCGAAGCCGACAAGTGGTATGCCCTGATTGCGGCTGGCAGGGCGGCGGTGGATGCCGTCGTCGACTGGGGCCGCGCAGGCCGCGGGGGCTGGCGGCGGGCCCAGCTGCGCGGATTCGGCCTCGCGGCAGCTGCCCTGGCGAGGGGGGCCGCGCGGCGCCCTCGAAGCGGCCGAATCGACGGCGACGGCGACCGCGTCAGCGCGCCCCGTGAGGCGCTGCCTCGATCGAGCGCGTCGGACGAACACCCAGCCCGCGCGTCGACAGACGCGTTGGTATTTGGTCGACGGTCGATGGCGTAGGACATCGGAGACGCGGAACGGCTCCGAGGTCAGCGCGAGGGCCCTCGTCCATCTGGCGGAAGGGCCACCAGAGACGCCAGCGAGGTCCCTGGGCCAGAGGGGCACGGCCCCCAGGCCGCAGCCCTGGCGGCCACGTAGGCCGCGCCATATCTCGACGACCATAGCGGAAGGCGTCCGCGCTGGAGCGCCGCCCCCGAGGCTGCGACGCCGCGCGGTCATGAACGGCGCCCCCGTGATTTCCCGGGCGCGCGCGCTCTCGGGCTGAGCTACATGCCCAACGCGTCCAGGTGGTTGCCGTGCCGTGGGGGTGGCGGCTCCAACGGGGCGACCTCGCAGTCGTCCGATCCCCCGCCAAGTGCCGCGGGGGCTCAGGGCTGAGTGGAACGGCCTTCGCGGAGTTCACGGTGCGCGCGAGGGCGACTTCCCGTTGAACGGCGGTTCGCGGTTCGCGCTCGACAGCGTGCCCGAGGTCGAGGACAGGCTGGCGCCCAGCGGCGCGTGAATGCTAACCGACGACCCCGTGCCCAGCTCCGCGCTCGAGCTCGCAGGCGCCATCGTGCTCCTCGTCGGGCTGGGGCCCTCGGCCTGGGCGCGCAGGGGTTTGGTCACGCTCGCCTTGGCGCCCATGCCTCTGCCGGGGGGCCGGGCCCTGCTGGGGCCCACCGCTGAGAGGCCAGCCTTATTGGCGAAGCCCCAGCAGGCGAAGTGCCCTACGGGTGTGCCTGCTCTGGCGCCGACGCCGCCGCCTTGCGCTGGCGCCAGCGCTGGCACTTGCAATGCCTCCAGGACTAGGCAGCGCCTGCGCGCGTCGGCGCCCGACCCTGTTGCCGGCGCCAGCGTCGGCGCTGGCGCCGGCGCTGGCAGAGCGGTGGGCGCGGGCGCTGGTGCTGCCGCTGCCGGCGCGGCCGGGCATGGCCGAAGGAGGCTCGGCCTTGGGGGCGAAGCCCTGATGGCGGTGGCTACTTTGATTCTTTCGCGTGCACGCGCTGCTGGTGCCCTCGCCAGGATCTCCCATGCTCCTGCGGCGCCGGCGCCGCTAAGAGGGACTGACGGCGTTTCAGTCGGCGCCTGCGTGGGGCCCGACCGCGAGGAGGCCGGTTTCGGGGGCGAGGCCCTTGCTGTGCCGGCGCTGCTCCCGCTCGCGGGCGCGCGCGCCGCTGCGCGGCCAGTCCGCGCAGCTGCTGGCGCGTGCATGTTGGGGGCATGCGCCGCTGCTACCGTGGCGAGTGCGACCGCCGGCATTTGCGCGGAAAGATCAGGAGTTATCGCGCCCAACATCGGCGCTATCGCCTGTGCCTAACAACGCTGGCGACTACGCCGGCACCCTCTCCAGCGCCGGGGTGGTCTCTGGCGATGGCGTCCGCGCCGATGCCGGCGCTGCTGGGGCGCCGACGTGGGTGTCGCCCTCGACGCCAGCAACGACGCCGACGCGGGCGCTGGCGCCTGCGCCCGCGACGACGCCTGCGGGACCCTCATGGTCGCGGCAAAGTCCGCCTGCTCGGGCAGCGGTGTGCGGGCTTGCCGAGACCCGCTGGAGGGAATAGCGGCTTGCGCCTCGCGCTGTGCGGCCGAGTGGATTTTTTGTTCGATTGCGCGCGGGTGCTGTCGACAACGCGCCGCGCCCCGACGTGGAACAAATCGCTGAGTTCGCAGGCGCCCGCCGCGTCGTGACCCCCGTCGTCGCCGAGGCGTTGCAGGCCCAGAGCCTGGCGGTCGGCCTCGGGCGCGGCTCTGGCGCGGCCAGGTCGCAGGCGCCCACCGCGTCGCCTCGCGGCTTGAGCGCGGCCAGATCGCCGGCGACCATCGAGTCGTGGCCCCCGTCGTCGCCGAGGCGGTGCGGGGTCCGGAGCCTGGCGGTCGGCCTGGGGCGCTGCTCTGGCGCGGCCAGGTCGCAGGCGCCCGCCGCGTCGTCGCGCGGCTCTGGCGCGGCCAGGTCGCAGGCGCCCGCCGCGTCGTGGGTCCCGTCGTCGCCGAGGCGGCGAAGGCCGCCTGGCCCATATCCTGGCGGTCGGCCTCGGACGCGGCTTTGGCGCGGCCAGATCGCCGGCGTTCACCGCGTCGTGGCTCCCGTCGTCGCCGAGGCGATGAAGGTCCAGAGCCTGGCGGTCGCCGTCGGCCGCGGCGTTGGCGCGGCCAGGTCGCAGGCGCCCGCTGCGTCGTGGCTCCCGTCGTCGCCGAGGCGCTGCAGGCCCAGGGCCTGGCGGTCGCCATCGGGCGCGGCGTTGGCGCGGCCAGGTCGCAGGCGCCCGCTGCGTCGTGGCCCCCGTCGTCGCCGAGGCGGTGCAGGCCCAGGACCTGGCGGTCGCGCTCGGACGCGGCTTTGGCGCGGCCAGGTCGCAGGCTCCCGTCGCGTCGCGGTTCCCGTCGCCGCCGAGGCGGTGCAGGTCCAGGCGCCCTGGCGGTTGGCCTCGGTGCGGCCTGGGCGCGGCGGGCGCCCGCCGCGTCGCGGCGCCCGTCGTCGCCGAGGCTGCGCAGGCTCAGAGCTCGGCGTTCGGCCGCGGGCGAGGCATTTGCGCGGCCAGGTCGTAGGCGCCCGCTGCGTCGTAGCCCCCGTGGTCGCCAAGGCGGTGCGCGCCTAGGGCCTGGTGGTCGCTCTCGGGCGCGGCATTGGCGCGGCCAGATCGCAGGCGCCCGCCGCGTCGCGGTTCCCGTCGCCGCCGAGGCGGTGCAGGTCCAGGCGCCTGGCGGTTGGCCTCGGGCGTGGTTTTGGTGCAGCCAGGTCGCAGCTGCACACCGCGTCGCGGCGCCCTTCGTCGTTGAGGCGTTGCAATCCCAGGGCCTGGCGGTCGGCCTCGCGCGCGGCATTGGCGCGGCCAGGTCGCGGGCGACCACGACGTTGTGGCCGCCGTCGTCGCCGATGCGGTGCAGGCCTAGAGCCTGGCGGTCGGCTTCGGTCGCGGCGCCGTCGGGGCTCGATCCCTTGCCGCATTCACTCGGCCTCTGCGCCGCTGGTGGATGGGGCCGCCAGGCACGTTTCGAGCTAATTACGTCCATGTCGCGTCGACGCCGCTGCGACCCCAGCGCGGGCGCTCAAGTTTGGATACCACTTGTGTCTCAGAATCGGCCGATACGTCGATAAGGAACGATTTTGGCGTTCGAAAAGCCGCGGATCGTTGAAGGTTGACCGGTCCACGCAGTGTCAGAAGTCGACGCCGAAGTCGGCACGACGTGAATCTGCCGAATGTTTCATCATTTTGGGGCCCGCCCGATCCTGCTCTTCCTGCCTACTCCCTCCCTCCCGCCCTCTCTCCTACCTACCTCCTACAGTCAACCCGCGTAGTAAGGATGAGCGACCTCCCAAGGTCATCCTTACATCCTTCCCCTTCGGCCCGTCATTGGCTGCTTTCGCTGGCCGCGCCCCGCCCGAAAAGTGTCGGCGTGACGTCTTGCATCCTCATCGCGCGTACCTGCCATGCGGGTTAACTGCGCCTGCCTCCTGCCACCCGCCGACCGTTGAAGGTGGAAGGCTGCACGCGGTGCCGCAGGCCAGAGCCAGATATCCGCGGATTCGACTTTTCCCGAGTCGGCTGCCGCTTTCCTCCGATCCGATGTATTTCGGCCTCTGGAGCCCTCGCCGTTCCTCGGGACCATCAACAAAACGACTCGGGGTAAAAAACCAGCCCTGGGGAAAGGGTCTGGACTTTGGAGCACCGCGTGCTGAAAGAAAATTCTAAGACAGCACATGTTCGGGCAGTTCCCCGCGCGAGCTGCGGGAGGCGGAGCTGGCTGCTGCGCCGCCTCGCGGTTGGTCTGCCAGGAGGCTCCCTCTGAGGCCTCGTGGGGTTCTCGTGCCCCTCTCTCGGGGGCCTCCGGGTGGCTCCTGGAGGGCTCTTCTGAGCCCTGTCGCGGGCCTCGGGGTCAATCTCGGGCGCGACGCCTCTGCCGAGCTCTCCCGGAGAGGCTCGGCGGAGCCTTCTTGTGGGTCTGTCCTGGGCCGCCCCGAGGGGTTCTCAGACTGTGCTGGGGCCCTCCGGGGGGTCATCTTGGGCTGTCCTCGGGCCTCCTGGAGCCCCCTGGGGTCGGTCGTCTTGAGGCTCTGTGACATCTTCCGGGAACTATCCGAAACCTCGAGTGCGTGTTCAACATTGGCGGCCTCGTGAGGCCTTGTGGGAAGTCTCCGTGGGCGTCTCTTGCAGGCTTCCAGGGGCCTCTTTCGGGTGGGAACACCTTGCGGCCTTTGGACGGTCGCTGGGCCATCTTAGACCGGTCTTAGGGCATCTTGCCGTCTTGGGGTCGTTCGGAGCGCTTGGGAGCAAAACGGGGGTCGGCGTTGCAACCGAGGGTTAGGGCAGTAGCTGCTAGTCGGTGAGGGGAGCCCCTGGAAAACTACAGAAGCCGTATCAGACAGTTACCATGCCCTCGCTTGCAGAGGGCACGGCGGTGGATTTCTCTGGCTTCATGTTCGGCCTTTTCGATGAATCCACCGAGTAGCTGCACCTTCAGCTTCAGTCAGCTCTACTTGGAACTACCCTTGGTCGAGTGCAGCGTGATTGTTTGCCTGGCGTGCAGAAGCTGCTGCTGACAACACGTGCCAGTGGGCCATGATGTTCGAATTCAGGATCTGGCTACGAGTATGATATTACTTGTTTGTGTGGTTGTGTTCAACCTGTCTAACGTCTGGGTGCATGTGGTACAGTGCGCTTGTGTTATCAGCATTCGTTCCCATGCATGTTTAGCATGGTCGGTGCCGTCCTGATTATTGCCTGTGTTTATCTACTAAGGCATATCGACTCGCAGGCTTATTCGGCAACGTTGGAGACGCTGCCCGACGACGATGGCTCGGGCCGGGGGGATACTTGCTTGGAAAACGGGGTGGACAGGAGATCATCTTTGGAACCGCTGGTCGAAAGCCCCTCCATTCCCTCCTCCCCTGTGGGGTGCGGCGGAGGAGGAGGAGGAGGAGGAGGAGGAGGAGGAGGAGGAGGAGGAGGAGGAGGAGGAGGAGGAGGAGGAGGAGGAGGAGGAGGAGGAGGAGGAGGAGGAGGAGGAGGAGGAGGAGGAGCAGAAAGAAGGAGGGCGGGGGGGGGATTGGTGGATTTCCTTCCCCCTCTCCCTCTCCCCCCTCTACTGTCTTCCCTCCTTCCCTCCTCCTTCTTCCCTCCCCTCCTTTTTGTCCGTTTTCTTTTTTCTCTCAAGCAGCCGGCGGCCAGACAGTCTAACCAGAAGCTCTTAGCGTCGGGAGCAGCATGTCACGGCCACTGGATAGTAGCTCCCATGGGTGTAGATGAAGCTTTCCCCAATGGTTTCACGTATTGTGAGTTCATCAAGGCAACTGGCGACCGCATGCCAATAATTTCGGCATACCTCACACGTTTCGTGGCTCCATAGGGGGCTCCTCCGAAGGCCCCAGTGGTTGCGCTCGCATATCACAACCGCACCCAATTCTGCACACCTCTCACACGTTTCGCGGCCTCATCGGGAGTTCCACCGAAGGCCCCAGTGGCTGCGCCCGCATGCCACCATCGCACACAAGGCGACACACCAATCACACGGTTCGTGGCCCCATATGGAGCTTCACCGACGGCCCCAGTGGCTGCGCTCGCATGCGCCCGCCGCACCCATTTCGCCACATGTCGGCACACCACTGATGCGTTTCGTGGCCCCATAGGGGGCTCCACTGAAAGCCCCAGCGGCCGCGTTCGCATGCGGTTCTCAGCCCACTGCATGTCCATGTCGGCACACCCCTCGCACGTTTCGTCGCCCCGTAGGGAGCTCCACCGAAGGCCACAGTGGCAGGGCTCGCATGCGGCTCCCCGCCCACTGCGTGTCCATGACGGCACAACCCCCTCACACGTTTCGTGGCCCCATAGGGAGCCCCACCGAACACCCCAGCGGCAGGGTTCGCGGGCGCCATTACTGCCGCCGCATATCCATTCTCAGCACACCCCTCACGCTCTTCGTGGCCACCGAGCATTTGGTTGGGTCCTTCGCCGGGAAAATTTGGAAGGGGCCGCCCTTCGAGCGGCTACGGTTCTACTGTACAGGCCTTTTCAGACTACGACGCTTCCTCTTGGGCTCCTCTTGCTTCTCAGATTCGGAGGCCTTGTGCGGTCTCTCGAGTGGCCCTTCAGAAGGTCAGGCCTTCTGAGATGCTTGTGGTCTCTCAGATGAGGACGCCTCCCAGAGGGCCACAGGCGCGCGCGGGCTGCCGCGGCCGCCCCGCGACGCCAGCATTGGCGCCTCCTGGGGCCGCCGAAACAAGTGCCGCACTCTAACTCCCGCATCAGCTTCCGCACTGGTCCTATGAGAAGAATCCCCATGCAATATCCGTGAGAGGGCCAGTCCAGCGAACTAGTGAATCTGGCAGTCCTACCACTCTGCCGGCACCAGTGCGGGGATCAGTCCGCCACCAGAGTCCGGTAATTGGTTCGGCGATTAGTTTGACACATGAGTGCGGGGACTAGTCTGGCGCATGGGTCCGACGCATTTGTCCAGCGCTCAGTCCAGCGCCCTAGGCCAATGTCTAGTCTGCTTCCTACTGCTCCTGACCGGTGGCCCTACCCTTGTAGAGCGGTGAGGACACCACGTAGAGGACCCCCCCAAGTTGGTGCGCGGGATGGAGGAGGCATTTCTATCTCCCACACCGTGCCTGCTGGGGCGCTTCTCGACGTGTGCGGGCTGGCGCGTCGAGCGCGGGTGGGCCGGGGCCTCCTCGGTCGCCGCGGGGCGCACGGCGGATGGAGGGCTTCGGTCGGTCGGTCCGTCCCCCTCTGTGACATGGAAAGGAGAGCCCCAGCCGGAAAATCGTTTCCTTTCGTGCGTGTCGTGCGTGCGGGCGAGGCGAAGCTGCGTGGGCGCGCGAGAGGAATGAACCCGCCGTTGCCAGGGCGAAGTCGAGACAACTAATTCTCCCTTCCCGCCGGCCCGTCCGGCGGTGGCTCGCGGTGTCCTGCGGTGTCCCACGGTGTCCCGTGGTGTCCCGTGGTGCCCGCCGTTGCCGTGGTGTCCCGTGGTGTCCCGTGGTGTTTTGTGGTGCCCCGTTGAGTGAGATCGATAGTGCGATCGATAGTGAGATCGATAGTGAGATGTGGTGGCCCAGGGTGTCCCGTGGTGTCCCGTGGTGTCCCAAAAAGTGAGATCGATAGTGAGATCGATAGTGAGATGTGAGATCGAGGTGTCCCGTGGTGTCCCGTGGTGTCCCGTTGAGTGAGATCGATAGTGAGATCGATAGTGAGATCGATAGTGAGATCGATGTGGTGTCACGAGGTGTCCCGTGGTGTCCCGTGGTGTCCGGTGGTGCCCTATGGTGTCCCGTTGAGTGAGGTCGATAGTGAGATCGATAGTGAGACCGATAGTGAGATCGAGAGGTGTCCCGAGGTGTCCCGTGGTGTCCCGTGGTGGCCCGTGGTGTCCCGTGGTGTCCCGTTGAGTGAGATCGATAGTGAGATCGACTAGTGTCCCGTGGTGGCCCGTGGTGTCCCGTGGTGTCCTGTTGAGTGAGATCGATAGTGAGATCGATTGAGTCAGATGTTGGTTCCCCCCCTCCCCCCCCCCCACAACCTCCTTATCACCCGACGGGTGGTCGTCGGAGGTAGGGGGTTGAGATCGCAGTGGAACGGAGAGCCCCAGCCAGAAAATCGTTTCCTTTCGTGCGTGTCGTGCGTGCGGGCGAGGCGAAGCTGCGTGGGCGCGCGAGAGGAATGAACCCGCCGTTGCCAGGGCGAAGTCGAGACAAATAATTCTCCCTTCCCGCCGGCCCGTCCGGCGGTGGCTCGCTGTGTCCTGCGGTGTCCCACGGTGTCCCGTGGTGTCCCGTGGTGCCCGCCGTTGCCGTGGTGTCCCGTGGTGTCCCGTGGTGTTTTGTGGTGCCCCGTTGAGTGAGATCGATAGTGCGATCGATAGTGAGATCGATAGTGAGATCGATACTGAGGGCGATGTGGTGCCCAGAGGTGTCCCGTGGTGTCCCGTGGTGTCCCAAAAAGTGAGATCGATAGTGAGATCGATAGTGAGATCGATAGTGAGATCGACAGGTGTCCCGTGGTGTCCCGTGGTGTCCCGTTGAGTGAGATCGATAGTGAGATCGATAGTGAGATCGATAGTGAGATCGATGTGGTGTCACGAGGTGTCCCGTGGTGTCCCGTGGTGTCCGGTGGTGCCCTATGGTGTCCCGTTGAGTGAGGTCGATAGTGAGATCGATAGTGAGACCGATAGTGAGATCGAGAGGTGTCCCGAGGTGTCCCGTGGTGTCCCGTGGTGGCCCGTGGTGTCCCGTGGTGTCCCGTTGAGTGAGATCGATAGTGAGATCGACTAGTGTCCCGTGGTGGCCCGTGGTGTCCCGTGGTGTCCTGTTGAGTGAGATCGATAGTGAGATCGATTGAGTCAGATGTTGGTTCCCCCCCTCCCCCCCCCCCACAACCTCCTTATCACCCGACGGGTGGTCGTCGGAGGTAGGGGGTTGAGATCGCAGTGGTCCCGACGGGTGGTCGTCGGAGGTAGGGGGTTGAGATCGCAGTGGAACGGAGAGCCCCAACCGGAAAATCGTTTCGTTTCGTGCGTGTCGTGCGTGCGGGCGAGGCGAAGCTGCGTGGGCGCGCGAGAGGAATGAACCCGCCGTTGCCAGGGCGAAGTCGAGACAAATAATTCTCCCTTCCCGCCGGCCCGTCCGGCGGTGGCTCGCGGTGTCCTGCGGTGTCCCACGGTGTCCCGTGGTGTCCCGTGGTGCCCGCCGTTGCCGTGGTGTCCCGTGGTGTCCCGTGGTGTTTTGTGGTGCCCCGTTGAGTGAGATCGATAGTGCGATCGATAGTGAGATCGATAGTGAGATCGATACTGAGGGCGATGTGGTGCCCAGAGGTGTCCCGTGGTGTCCCGTGGTGTCCCAAAAAGTGAGATCGATAGTGAGATCGATAGTGAGATCGATAGTGAGATCGACAGGTGTCCCGTGGTGTCCCGTGGTGTCCCGTTGAGTGAGATCGATAGTGAGATCGATAGTGAGATCGATAGTGAGATCGATGTGGTGTCACGAGGTGTCCCGTGGTGTCCCGTGGTGTCCGGTGGTGCCCTATGGTGTCCCGTTGAGTGAGGTCGATAGTGAGATCGATAGTGAGACCGATAGTGAGATCGAGAGGTGTCCCGAGGTGTCCCGTGGTGTCCCGTGGTGGCCCGTGGTGTCCCGTGGTGTCCCGTTGAGTGAGATCGATAGTGAGATCGACTAGTGTCCCGTGGTGGCCCGTGGTGTCCCGTGGTGTCCTGTTGAGTGAGATCGATAGTGAGATCGATTGAGTCAGATGTTGGTTCCCCCCCTCCCCCCCCCCCACAACCTCCTTATCACCCGACGGGTGGTCGTCGGAGGTAGGGGGTTGAGATCGCAGTGGAACGGAGAGCCCCAACCGGAAAATCGTTTCGTTTCGTGCGTGTCGTGCGTGCGGGCGAGGCGAAGCTGCGTGGGCGCGCGAGAGGAATGAACCCGCCGTTGCCAGGGCGAAGTCGAGACAAATAATTCTCCCTTCCCGCCGGCCCGTCCGGCGGTGGCTCGCGGTGTCCTGCGGTGTCCCACGGTGTCCCGTGGTGTCCCGTGGTGCCCGCCGTTGCCGTGGTGTCCCGTGGTGTCCCGTGGTGTTTTGTGGTGCCCCGTTGAGTGAGATCGATAGTGCGATCGATAGTGAGATCGATAGTGAGATCGATACTGAGGGCGATGTGGTGCCCAGAGGTGTCCCGTGGTGTCCCGTGGTGTCCCAAAAAGTGAGATCGATAGTGAGATCGATAGTGAGATCGATAGTGAGATCGACAGGTGTCCCGTGGTGTCCCGTGGTGTCCCGTTGAGTGAGATCGATAGTGAGA